GGGGGGGGGGGGGGGGGGGGCATGCGTCCTTAGCATTATCGTAGGGTTGCTGAATACTGAGATTCTAGATTAAAGATCATAATAGTAGCATTTCCCACACTTACCCAGACACCGGAAAGATCTAAAACATAGATCCGCTAAACAGGTTCCTGTAAAGTACCCCTAAGTAGTATAGGGTCCCAAATTGGGAGATCTACTTTTTAAATCCTTCCGGTGGTCTGGGTAAGGAGTTTTCGGTACTCTCAGGCTTCTTGCTCATAGGAGGACTGACTTGGTACCGTAGCATCATCATTTTTCATTACTTACTTCCCCAATAAGCCAGTTAAAATAATGTTAAACTCTCAGATTACCAATGAACTAAAAGAACCCAAAAAACCTGAAAGGTTGGGTATTGGCGAACTAAGACAGAGCCTACCACTTGGGGTCTATATTGGGTTTAGGGTTTAGGGATTGGGGTCCCTTGGCTTCAATGTTTAGATGAATCCTTGAGACTGTAAACCAACAACGGGTAAAACCCTAGACCTTGGCTGAAAACTTCGGCACAAGCCATCATCAGACAAGCGCTACTGCGGGCGCGATAATGCCATCTCAAACTTGCTTCAGCAATAAGCCATCGAAGAGTAAAAAAAACATGTTGAACTTTGCAACTACTACTACTACTACTACTACTACTACTACTACTACTACCACTACTGCTACTACTACTACCACTACCAAACTATAAGGAGCCAACGAGTTGCAAGGTTGGGTATTGGAGACCTATGTAAACACAGAACCTGGCTTGCCCCCGAGGTGTTAAGGATGCTTGCCTGAAACACATAAGTAGGGTTAAGGGGTTTAGGGTTTAGGGTTTAGGGGGTTTAGGGTTTAGGGTTTAGGGTTTAGGGTTTAGGTTCAGGGTTCCTTTAAAAATCTTAATGTTCTACCGAAGGTTCGGGGTTCCTTTAAGAGAGGACGTAGGGTTCCTTAAGACTCTCTTCTTTAATACCCCAGGCCCAAGAGAATAGGGTTTAGGGTTTAGGGTTTAGGGTTTGGTTTAGTTCCGCCAAAAAGTTTAAAGTTCTCCCATCCATAAAAGAAGTACAACGGCTAGAAAAATGATTAATATGGGGGCCTTAATAATGAGAATAGGGTTTGGGGCTCCTTTATAGTATAGTTACAATCGGGAACCCTAAGCAACAAATTTTAGACCCCCTAAACCCTAAACCCCTAAACGCACAAAACCCTAAACCCCCAAACCCTAAACCCTCAGCCCTAAACCCTAAACCCGATATGCCCTAAACCCTAAACCCCAAAAGCCCTAGACCCTAAACCCCAAAAGCCCTAAACCCTAAACCCCAAAAGCCCTAAACCCTAAACCCCAAAAGCCCTAGACCCTAAACCCCAAAAGCCCTAGACCCTGGCCCTAATAACCGTGAGCCTGCAGCAGCGCAACGGCGTGGTCACTGTGTCTGTGCCAACGTTCCTGGGAGCATCCCGAGACCACTCAGAACCCCCAAAACGTAAGGGTTTAGGGTTGAACTCTCGAAACCCTAAAGCCTAAACCCTAAATCCTAAACCCCCTAAACTCTGAATCCTAAACCAATCTCCAAACCCCTAAACCCTCAGAACCCCTAAACCCTTGAAACTTTTTTGAACCTTAAGGAGGGACCCCTAATCCACGTACCCTATATAACCCTTATAAATCCCTTATATAGACTCACGGCCCCTATACAACCCCAAGAGTCCCTTTAAGGGTCCCTCCTTTAGTCCCTTGAAACCCTGAACCCTAAACCCTGAACCCTAAACCTCAAAGCCGTAAATCATGCCAGGGAGCTAGTTAGGGTTTAGGGTTTAGGGTTTAGGGTTTAGCATGTAGGGTTTAGGGTTTAGGGGTTTAGAGTTTACTCTGTAAAAGTTCAATGAAACCCTAAACCCTAAACCCTAAACCGGTTTAGGGTTTAGGGTTAGATGCCGATTCCGTCAATGAAGAGGGCTTGGAGCCCCTAGGCCTACCCATAGGGCCCATAGTAGTTACTTTTTGGGATTAGGGTTTAGGGTTTAGGGTTTAGGATTTTAAATATGAGCCCCAGAAAGGGACTACTATGGGTGGGGCCTATGGGTAAAGCCTAAAAATCTCAAAGAGCTCTTTTAGGAATGCTGAAAGACACGCCTTGAGGAACCCTCAACAACAGAATTGAAGGAACAGAAGGGCTCCGTAGATTCGGAAGTGCGCATCAGCAGCGCTGTAGCCAGGTGCAGCCCCGAAAGCCGAAGGGGGAACCCAGGAAGTGACCCAGGTTGTCAGCTTTTTGCACAGAGCCTTGGCCCCAATGCGCCATGCCACCTGTAAAAGCCCTATGGGTCGGGCGGAGGTTACCTTTTTAGGGAGCAGGGCAATGATGCCGCGCTTCCAGTCACAAGGGATCTGACCACCCTCCAAAAGGTGATTCCACAGGCGTCCCAAGCAGTCCCACCAAAGCGGTGGCATGAGCAGAAGCTCGCCAGCTTTCCAAGCGTCTGGGCCTGCAGCTTTCTTGACCATGCGCCGTGCACAGGCCTTGAGATCCGCAAAGGTCAACTCGATTTTGCCAGTCCAAGCCTCACGTTTTTAGGGTTTAGGGTTTAAGGTTTAGGCACTGAAGGCGCCCTGGAGGGAACCCTTTCAGTAGGCTTACAGGAACCCTGGAACCCTAAACCTATTGTAGTACATAAGGAAACCTATGAGGGGGTTTCCGAAAATAAGGGACCCTAATATAGCACCCAAGGACATCAAGGTCCAGCTCTCTGCCTGGCAGCAAGAGCATGACTGAAGTCGTCCCAGCAAAAACTCTACTACAGGTGCCCAGATTGACCGACAACTTGTTGCAATCCCAAATTACCTGGACCCTAAGAGGCCTACCGCTCTAGGGCTCCTTATGGGTAGTTCTCTAAATTTTAATTCGGGTTTCCTTTTTAGGTCCCCAAAATAGTACGCCACCCTTATAAAAAGGACCCTAAAAGGGACCCTAATTTAGAGAACTACCCTTATGATGACTTCCTTGTTTAAGTCCTCAAGACGGGAGACTCCTTAGGGCTTGGGGTAAACCCTAAGCCGCAAAAAACTGTCCACTACGGTTTAGGGTTTTGGGGTTTAGGGTTTAGGGTTTAGGGTTTTTGGGTTTAGGGTTTAGGGAAACACATCCAGCCCCTGGGTTTGACTTGAACCCGTCTGTGTGCTTTGCTACGGTTTAGGGGTTTTGGGGTTTATTTACTGACGTCCGGCTTGGAAAGGTTTGTAGCTCAACCACGGAACCTGAGCCCCTAGGTGATGCCAGCATAAATGCCTTAAAACCCGAAGCACTAAACCCTTAATGGAACCTTAACCTAAACCCCTTTCCCGAAACCCTAAACCTATTGTAGTACATAAGGAAACCTATGAGGGGGTTTCCGAAAATAAGGGACCCTAATATAGCACCCTGAATAATAGGATCCTTACTACAAGGACCTCAAAATAAGGTACCCTTTGAATTTCGGAAACTCACACGGCTGGTTGTCAAAATTATGGTCACTTTTTGGGTCCTTATTGTAATACGGCACCTATTATTTAGGGTACCCCAAAAGGGACCATAATTTTGACAACTACCCACATTATACCCTAAACCCTAAACCCTTAACCCTAAGCCCTAAGCCCTAAACCGTATTAAACGTAAACCCTAAACCCAAAACCCTAAACCCTGAAACCCCTAAACCCTAAATGAGTACGTGATGCCAGCGGGGGGCGCGAAGGGACTCCATCCGATCGGAGGATACAAAGATCTCGAAGGCGAAGGAGAATGGGGTCTTAAGCCTTGCCCAGCCGGGTTTAGGGTTTATAGGGTCTACGGTTTTTTTTAAGTGCAATGCGCCCCTTTTCTGTGGTTGAAGGTTTAGGGCTTATGGTTTAGGGTTTATAGGGTTTAGGGCGTATGGGGTTTAGGTTTTATAGGGGTTTATAGGGTTTAGGGCTTATGGGGCTTAGGGCATGTAGGGTTTAGGGTTTAGGGGGACTGACACAGGATCCTAATGGTGGAATATACCTCAGATCTTATGAAAAGTCCGTCACTAACTCATGGAACATTGCATTTGTTTCAGGTTTTGAGGGTTTTGGCATTGGAGTCTCCAGGATTACATGGAGTGGCAAACATACAGGGCCTTTAGCCTTTGGAAGGGCTGTTGATAGCTCTCTTCTTCAACAACAAGGCCCAAAAAAGTTCAAACTTTTTAGGATAGACTTAATATATAAGGCCAAAAAGTTTAAAGTTCTCCCATTGAGGACCTAAGATAGGGGCTACGAGGGATTACGGAATCCAGGGTAAGCCTTGGCAAGACGTGCGTTGTGAGGTTTGTTGTTACAGGGTCCTATAGGGCGTCCATAATACGCCAAAGGGTCCTTATACCCTGAACCCTAAACCCCAAACCCTAAATCCGATATAGTAGAATGTAGGGCTTCGTACATTAGGAACCTAGGGCCCTTTGGGTATGCAGGGTTTTTGCCCGTGGAGAGCTTCTAGATATTCTGACTGGTTCTTAGTAGGGAACGGAGGAATTGGTTTTTGGGACTAATATAGGGGACCTTAAGGGACTATCGTAAGGATCACCCCCCCCCCCCAATTCCATACTAAGAACCAGGGAGTATTGTTCGGTGTTGAAGGCGTTTGAGCATTTGCAGGCTTTTAGGGTTTGCGGGTTCCGGCACGACTTGCGGCGTAATTTGTTTCCAGCATAGGACCTTTGACATAGTTAAAACCTTGAACCATAGCACAGTTAGGGTTTAGGGTTTAGGGTCTACTTACTATGTACGGTTTCTGCGGGGCCTTTATGATTTCCACCTAAAGTGTTGTAAGGAGGGAACCTGTGATGGTATGTAATAATACAAGTCTATCAGGAAACCTATTAGGAACAATCTTGGTAGCTATTCGGTCTTCTATATTCGAACCCTACCGTCTAATCCCCGCAAGAAGGGCCTGTGTAGTTAGGTGGCGTGTTGTAATATAGTTAGACAGGCCTATGCGGTCGCGTCTGACTGGTTACTCACATTTCTGTTAACAATTGATCCCTAAACCCTACATCCTAACTCCTACCTAACGAAGTTCTGGATCCCGTAGATGGATGCAGTGTGGGGAGCTTGTCATAGACCCAGTCCAGAGATGTGCCCGGACAGGAATAGCCAACCTGCAGCGATAAGTGAATGGATCTGTGGATACGAGGTGATACAGGCAGGCGGGCCGGGCCTAAATTAGTAGACTATGTAGGTTTCTTTGGGTGGGATATTCGGACCTCTATACTGTGTCTCAGGCTTTTGGGTTTAGGAATTTGGGTTCTTTGTGGCATTCCTGCCGCTGCCCTGATATTGAATGCAGGATTTCATTCGTTATCCTGGTCAAGATGTTCGTGGCGGTGCAAGCTACGGTGATGGTGATTGCAAAAGAAAAGAGTAAGGAGTACACAGTGCTGCAGAACAATAGTGATGCACATTATGCTGATGACGGCGCTCAGCTTGATGCCTTTTGGATGTCACCCGAAAAACTACACACCGGAGACCTAGCCCGAACAAAAGCAAAACCTTAGACCCATAACGATCCTGATGGTGGTGGATGTGCGTTGGGAGGTCGACTGCGCCGAAGACGAGTTTGCATTATGGAACTCACTGCCAGCCTTCATTCTCCCACCAGCGTGCTAAGTTTCAAGGTAATGTCTAGACCAAACCCGTGGCCACGCAATACCCACGCGCCGGCAAATACGGATTGCAACAAGGATCGTAATAATGAAGCCTTGAAAGGGGGAAGTGTCTCTTGGTTACACCATGTTGTAACAAATAGCACTTATTTTGGGGTCTAAAGTCTGAAAATATGGACTACTTCTGGCTATGTGGAGCTTCCGGGAAGGTCCCAAAAATGCGAGATTTTGAGGGAAAGATCTTAAGCGGAGCTACTGAGCTGAAACCCGAACCTGGAACCCTAAAACCAAAGGCTTTAAGGCTAAACCCAATCCGACGCCCGGATGCTGTTCCACTTCGTCAGCAGAGACAGAGAAAAAACCCGCCCACCATACCGTAGGATGGTGAAACCTCCAACAACGGTGTTAACTGCACAGTAACGCGACTATGATTCAGATTTGAAGTATATGCTCATTAACCAAGAGGGTCCATATATACTACTTACTACTATTATGGAATTAGGTCCCCAAACCAACAAATAATAAGGATGGTCTTTTGGGACCTAACTCCATAATGGTAGTGTGTTTATGGACCCTTTGGGTAATCTCGTCCGCACATCCGGTTCCTCTAGGCATCAGCCTTCACCCCTAAACCCTAAGCCCAAAGCCCTCAGCCCTAAACCCTAAACCCTGAACCCCTAACCCCTAAACCCTACACCCTAAACCCTAAGCCCAAAGCCCTCAGCCCTAAACCCTAAACCGAGCTGCTGTGTCTGTGATCACGAGCGCGAGC